ATTTTACTATTAAAATATTTACTATTATTAAAAATTACATTGGCAGCAGGTACTAAGTCCTACCTACAGTCTCTCTCTTCTCAAATGCTTTAGGAAACCATAAGGCCAATTGCTTGCATATGTTTCTGTCTGCAGGCATACAGCTGGGAAAACCTCCAGTACAGGAATAGTTTAAAAAAGAGAGGGAAAAAAAGCCAGTGATGAGTGAAAACATGCTTTATTTTCTGAAAGGCCAAAAGCCAACAAAAAAGTAGAAGTTTGAAAGATCCAACGACATGTAGATTTGCTCATCTGAAGATATTCAAAGCTACTGAAAAATGTGAAATTAATGTTTTGATGGGTTACTTCTACCACTGCTGAGAGAAATGATGGTTTACATTGCTATAACCAGCAGAGTGACCGCTGTTACTGCCACTGCTGCAAAACTCCAACTCTTTAGAAGGCAGCACTTAATTTACTTGAGAACAAATAGTGGCAAAAGCCTAACAATTGTTCTAAAATGCTAGTGTAGGATGGCTGATCACAAACAGGTTAATAGCCCAACCTCTCCTTAATGTGAGAACCTCCTTCAGGGCAGCTTTTCTGCTTGGGCTCTGGGAATAGCATCTGCTCCTCGAGGCTGAACAAGGATTACAAGTTCCTGTAGGAAAGTGCACCACTTCTCAGGAAAGCTGAAAATGTCCTGCAGGGAGAGAAGTTGCTAAGGAAGGAGCAGCAAAGCCAGAGCTATGGTAAATTCTGTTCTCAAATGCTTGGTGCAGTCAGCTGATGCCAAACGCAGGTCCAGCAAAGCCATGAGACAAAAGCCGCCCTCATTCAGGGCCAGCTCAGCTCTGTGGAAGGGCTGTCTGCATGTCATGGTTAGCAAAAGACTTGAAACTATGACCTGAACAGATGAGCCCCTGTCACCAGAGTCTTCATAGGTAGACAGTAAATCCTGGGCAGTGCTCAGGTCCCCAGATTGACTGTAAGCATTTTGGAGGGGAGCTACAAACACAGTTTGTGTACAGACCTGCTAATGCAGGGCTATGCCCAAGAGACAAGGCCACTTGGCTGCATTGTTAACCTTACTGCTCGAGTCTCCCCTCTAGCCAGCACTAGACCCATGCAGCATGTGCTATATGTAGTCAGAACACCATGAATACCACAACCACTCTTGTGCAGAGCGAGAGCTGCCTGGCATGGCAGCAGTGGGAAGCTGCTGGCATCGGGAAGGGTGCAGTGATCAAGCCAACATGCTACTGGCTCAGTTCTTGAACCTCTCAGAACATGAGACGTGCCTTAAACCAGTATCTCCGCCTGTGAGCCACTGGCACTGCAGGGGCTCAGGCTGGAGTGGATACTCTCTGGGGACCAGAGGTGATGTGGTAAGACCCACAGCTCACTGCAGCTGTGCAGAGGAAGGGGGATGGCACTGTCCCTCTCACACAGGAATGCAGCCCCAGCCACAAGCTCTGGCACCGACTCCTTGTCCTGGTTAGAGCTGTCCATTTGCGTCGGAGAATAAGCAGTAACTCCTTTATACCAGTGGATTAAAACTATTAGGCTTGCTTGTATTCAAAAGGCATGGCTCAGGAACCAGGAAATGCCAGCACACGCTGTTCAGGGCTACTCCTCACCCAAACCTTACCCTGCAGTAATGCCTCCTCTCAATCAGAAGACCCAAACACAGATGATGGTTTGCACATACTCTGGTTCCTGTCTTCATGTTCAAGCTGCTACAGAACAGGTTATTTGCAGGTTATTTATCTTGTAGACAGAAGATCTCCTGTGTTTTCGAAGTACTGAAATTCCCATGTACTCTTCAGATTAGACGGTGCTGTGGCTGGTGGCGAAGCAGATTGCAGGAGCGAACTGCAAAGCTAGAACATCAATTAGCACCCAGGGACTGGCTCTTTCTCCTCCTGAGCTCGAATTTCACGAGCAGCCTGCCTTCTTTCTCCACACAGGGGTGAAAGACCAGCAGAGAGGAAACACTACCACATCAGCTGAAGGATGCAGAGGGGATGGTGGCTCCTGGGGAAGGTCTGTTCAGTGACACCATTCTGAGAGGCAGCCAAGCCACTAAGAGGTGCCAGCACAGGCAGCACAGCAGCAACCCCAGCAGGGGAGCCACCACTGATGACACTGAGCCTTTAGCTAGATGTCAGCATCACAGCAGCCTTCCAGTATCTGAAGGGGGCCCACACAGATGCTGTAGAGAGACTCTCCATCAGGGACTGTAGTGATAGGACAAGGGGTAATGGGTTCAGACTTTAACAGGGGAAGTTCAGGTTAGATATAAGGAAGAAGTTACAGTGAGGGTGGTGAGGCACTGGAACAGGTTTGCCCAAAAATGTGGTAAATGCTCCATCCCTGGCAGTGTTCAAGGCCAGGTTGGACAGAGCCTTGGGCAACACGGTCTAGTGTGAAGCATCCCTGCTCATGGCAGGGGGGTTGGAACTAGATGATCTTAAGGTCCTTTCCAACCCAAACCATTCTATGATTCTATGATCTCTCACAAAACTGGAGCTGTAATCAGACCTAGGAACTCGGAGGATAAACAAAAGCAGCAGGAGTTACTCTGTGGGTAAGGGTGTCTAATGCAAGGAAACCAAGTGGTGGCTCAAACTAGGGCCTTGGTACGACTGGAGTCTTGCTGTGCACACTGGATGGCACAAAACTGATTTCCAGCTTCAAAAGACACATAATTCTGTTTATTGCATGTGATTGCTAACACCATTCTAAAACCACCAGCTGATGGAACCCTGGAGAGGTCTTTTAGCAGTGCACAATGCTATCAGTAACTGCTGCTGGATAAACATGCACCGGCTACCTGATACACAGAAGCACAGTGGGAATTGGCTTCATGTGGACAGGAACTTGAACAGAACACACATAACCAACACTCAGGGGATTGTCACTGTGGCAAAGCACCCAGAAATGCTCCCTGTGCTGTGACAGATGACAGTAACTGTAATGAAGGTCCTTGGGAGTTGTTTCACACTCTTTAAGAAAAAAAAGGCTTTTTTAAACTCCTTTAGGAAACCACTCTGAAGTGGCGCCCTGATCTTTGTCAGCAGGATTAAAACAAATGTATGGAACTGAAGTAATGGTAGAAAATACCTTAAATGCGGAAGAAGGAAGAAATGAGACTGAAGTAACATTTATTCTCCTTCCAGTTATTTCAGAAGCATTGGGGAAAGCTAACAGGAGGGTTTGGAAGAAGAACCCTTAGCACAGTCACAGGGAAAGCCCAGGGGTCGGTGACAAGAAAGACCACCACACTGGTAGTTAGCAATTCTGATTTACAAAATCAGTTTTGTCTGGGGGCAAAAAACAACAAACAAAATCCACAAATCCAGTCGCAACAGATCATTCAGTGTCTGACAGTTCAGTGATTTGTAATATGAACTTGAATTTCAAGGTTACCCTTTGTTACTGGCATGGGGTCCTCCCCATTACACAAGTAAGCTAATTCCTCCCCTTCAATTTCCTTTAATATTGCATAAAACTCTCATTTTGGAGAGGAAGACTAAAATACATTTCCATGACTCTAGTTAACCTTTATTGGAACAGTCTTCTTGTTAGCAAGTCTAGCAGAAACTAAGTAAGTTCGCGAGGAACTAAATCCTTCCCACTGCAGAAGATCTTACCACGGAGAGCTATAGCTCACAGTAGAGAGCTCTGTGGAAGACTGTGCCAATGAGCAGTTTTCTCTCATAGACGGATGCCACGGAGCTTCCCTGCAGCACGGAGCCGTTATCAGCATAGACGCGTGTCACCATAGGCTCCTCCGAGAGGATGTTCTGGATGCGCAGGACCTGCCAGAGGAGGGGGATACAGCTGCTGAAATGGCCGTGGGTTCCACAGATGGAGGGAACATCAGTATGTTAACTTAAAAAAATGAGTTTGGTTGATCAGCTGCTGCTAACTGCAGTCAAATGATCCCTGTTACAGGGACACAATTCTGCTTCATTGAAGCACAGTCCATGAACGCTGCTTATTTTTTAAGTGGTTGTGCAACAGAGACTCCACCTCAGTATGTAAGTAAGACACTAGGAATGTGTTGTTTTTTCCAGCCTAATCGTTACTTAACACCTTCTTATTTTCATGCTTTTTCCAGAGGGTAAACAACTGCTGGTACCATAGATCTACTGCTACTGAACATGATAGTTTTGAAACGTGTCTTATGGTGAGCCTCAGACAAGGCTGAAATCAAACAGGTACCAACCAGCCACCTGTATGAGCACGCTGATGCCAGTACCTCACTGATTTCAGAAGGAAAGAAGAATTACAGTGTCACCTACTGATGAACCACACTTGCACAGATTATTCATTCCAGTGTGAACGTTTCTCATCATGCTTTGTGCTCAGTCAACCACTTTTGTCTGGCAAAGAGGTGCTGGCTCAGTTATTACTGCTCATCAAAATCTGACTGCACAGCCACAGCTGCACAGAATGCAACCCGAGGAGTCCAGAATGACACAGCTACTGGGTGGAAATTATTTAGTGTGTCCTAAGGATCAGAATAGGTGTTTGTTAGTGGGTATACGCTGTTCTGGCTTTCCACTTGAGAGCAAAAGCTATAAGCTGGAAGACAGCTCAGTCTTTGCTTTCACAAAGGCTGGGCAGGCACTTCTCTGTGTAATGCAGAGTTAAGTTACACCAGGGTGATTTGAACAGAGCAACTTTCTGGCACAGACACAGCCGAGAGACCAGTGATGTTTCCCAAGAGGCACCTCAGAAGCAGGCAGATTCTCAGGATCATAGTAGAAGAGCTTCATCCCATTGGGTTGACATCCTACCCAGATGTCTCCAGTGGATGGGTCAACAGACAAATTATCGACCAGAGTGTCCAGCTGCAGCGTCTATCCAACACAGAGGCAAAACAAGAAAAAGAAGGAAGTTAAATCTATCAGAAATCCTGTAAGCAAACTATAACATAATCAACAGACTTGCCCAAGACTCTCATCTGACATAGCTTAGACTGAGTTTTTAAGAAATACTTTCTTCCTCCAAAGTGTTATGTTTCTTTCCCCCCAGGATGCTTCATCCCCCTTTCTGTGCCATGAGAAACCTGCTTGCTACTCCCCCATCACTTCATTCACACCTACGCTTGTGTTGGTTACTTCAGTCAGAGCTCTGTGGTCTGACCGAGGTAGACTGCCACTGCAGCTCTACATCACACCCAAGGATTCCTCTGTTGTTGCTCGTGTGAGGGTGGAAGACCTGAAGCTCTTTAACAGGGCACACAGCACCTCTGCAAACCCATAGCAGGAACCATCCAGACCAGAACTGCACACATGATCAGGTTGAAAGCATTCATGGGGACTAATCTGTCCAAAATTCACATGTTCCTTTTTATTTATGGAACAGCAGCACCTTACCTTCACATGGGTTAAATTCCAATTCGCATGTTTTTCCATAACATGGATATTATGATCAAATACATCTGCAATGTAGATGTACCTTCAAAAGAAAGCACCTCTTAGCAATGCGTATGAGTAAGGAGACACCGAAACCAGCCAGCTCTTCCTGCGGAAGCCCAGCTCTTCCCATGAGGAACGCCAGCTCTCAGCTGCCAGCTCCCACACAGCAATAGATAAGGCAAGCAGCTCACAGGGCACTGAACTGAAGCCAACCTGCCGAGACACTATTGTAGCTTCACACTGTGCCAGCTCTTCCATTACAACACTGAACCAGGCCTTGGATCATAAGATCCACAAATAGGCTGGTTTTTCAATTTCAGATCAGCTGTCTACACCACAGCACTGGGTACTTCAGTCATACAGACTTTAACACTGTGGAGAGTTCCTCACTTGGCAGAAACCTTGCCTTGTTAATCCTTGCAGAGCAATATACACAAACTTCTGTATCGGCTGGTTCAAATGAAGCAAACTTTGACCTTATTGCACATAAACCACCCCGCAAAGCGGAAACATTGCCTCTAGTTGAAGCCTGAAACACATAACTTCTGTTCTACAGACCCTCCGCATCACTTACATTGCACAGCCCCTTGCCTTACATAAGCCACTTCAGACACTTGACCAGAGGTAGCGTGTGTACAAATTATGATTTCAGGATTCTTTTGTGTGATCAAACAAAACCTAAGGCAAGGAGAAACTTACTTTCTGTCAGGTGAAATGTTAATTCCATTGGCTGAATAAAACCCAGCTGCTACTTCTTTCACTTCTTTAGGACTGTAGTAAACAACATTTGACCAGGTTAAACCCAAGAACATCTCCAAGAACATCAAGATGAAGTCAGAGAAGTAGTGGTCATTGGTAGCATAGAAGCTGTCTGGTCCTACAGCTACCATATCATTCACGCTAAAAAAATGAAGAGGGAGAAAAATCAATAAAAGAATGATGTGAGAGGTATGAAGGAGCATTTTAGGACTGGGTTGGTACAACCCCAGGCACAGCTAC